ATGATGAAAGTTGATAGAAAATGGGGAGTCAGTTACTTTCGTGACTTTCATATTTCGATTTTCGTAGTTTTGCTTGTTAGTTTTAATTATCATCATCATAGATTACCCAAAGTTTGCTTACATTAGATCACAAACATACTACACACTGTTGTGATTGTTTTCGTTGTATCTTTTAGTAATTTCGTGATGTCCGGTGTGTATATTAGGGTCGAAATATTACTTTGGGAAAGTGATTTTGTTCACGCCTTAAAGTGTTTAAATTTGTCCAAATTCGTTTCATTTGTGACCCAGTAAACCTACATACCCCAACATATAATTCAATTTATTTTCAAGCTCTCCAAGAGGTCTTTAAAACCATTAATATCTGCAATTGAAGCATGTAAAATTATGACGGTGGAAACGAAGAGCTAGGCCCCGAAAAAAAAAAAAAAAAAAAGCAAACAAACTCAAATGTTCTATAATATTTCCTCTTTAAAGTAACTGATTTTTACTATACTGAACTTAATTTTACTGAATTGAACTTATTTTTATGAAACTGATATTATTTTTACTAAATGTTATTCTTTTTTTCTAAGGAGAAATAAACAGGGCCTAAGAGAATCAAATATGACAATTAGGTAAAGCGAACAAGGTCTAAGGGAAATTGGGGATCAAATGTGGCAATGCGCCACGCCTACTACATCCACATTTAAATTTCGACGTAAGGGTAAAGGAGGGCATTGAAATTAACATTTTGAAGAAATGAATTGAATTAACTTGATTTTGTTGTTTTACGGATATTCCTTAATTCATTAGCCAATCCGGCGCTCAGTTTGCTTCCATGTAAACATGCTTTACCTTTGTCTTTTAATTTTGATGAGCTAACAACTTCCTGCATTGATTGATCTCTGTACGCATTCGCCTCTACATTATTTTATAAAGATTATTGAAAAGTTAAAAGGCAATATATTTGTAATGTGACCTAAAAAAACATTGGGGCAATTCAAAAAGAGCAGGTCGAAAAAATAGGTATAATTTGAGGTTTTGGAGATGTGTGCCTGAATTAGAAGATTGCAATCTACTATCTACTATGTACATCATAAATTTGAAGGGTATTTTACGAGTTAAATGATAAAACATCAATATAAGTAATTGGCATCTATGAAGAATGTATGAGCGTAAGAACGTTAGCATGTTTTTGCATCTTCATGAGATTTGGTTATGCTGTCAATTATCCTAAATCTAACATATGAACATGTTAATTGATAATTATGAAACTGGTTTTATTTGATATTTAAATTATCTTTTTGGTGTAATCACACACTCACACTATGGCAGACATTTAATAAACCGTTTAGGTCTTGTTCAATTCACCTTAAAAAAAAAATTAATATTCAGTAAAAATAAGTTTAGCAGTAAAATTAATTTCAATATAGTAGAATTAATTTAGTTCAGTAAAAATCAGTAATTGTAAAAAAGAAAAATAATAGGCAATCAGTAAAAATATAATTTCAATTCAGCAAAAATAATTTCATTTCAGTAAAATTAATATTAGTTTGGTAAAAATAATTTAAGTTCAGTAAAATAATTTCAGTTCAGCAAAAAAATAAGGTGAGTTGAACTAACTGATAATTTAAGTTTAATTATAAACATATATTATTCAATTATAATATAATAATTTTACAATGTCACAAAAAAAAAAAGAGAGATTAATGAAATTCAGCTGTTAATTGGAGGAATAAAAAATATATTTTAAAGGTAACCAATAATTTCTTAACAATACATTAACAATTGATGATTAATGCAATGTGGTGCAGGCTGTGAAGAAAAGGGACAGTGGCTTCTCTCCTATTCATCTCATTTATGAGGACAATTGTCAAGATGGGTTCATGCTTGATAAGTTTGATTTGTTCCATATTAAAAGGTCTTGTAATACTGTTGCTCATATGATAACAAGGTTGAATATGGATAGTAGTTGTGAGTATGTATGTATTATTGGTACTTTATTTTCCCCAAAGTCTAACGATTTTGGCGGAAATTAATTTGATTTAATTAATAAAATGTACTTAAGATGCTACCTTGTTTTTTTCTTAAAAGTAACATTTTAATGATAGGTACATTATAAAATTTGTCTTGGGGTTGTATACAATAAAAAAAATTTAAAGACTTTTCTAAGAAAATGACGTCCTTAAATATTAATAAAATAATAATCATGAGTCATGTGTATGCATCAAATTATTCATGAGTAAAATTGAGCATTTCACATTTTCACACCCGATTTGATTTTCAATAATTTATGTGTACCTTAAATTATTGCATATCATTAATAACTAAGCGCAGCGAATTAGAATATTAGATGGTGTGGATAGGTTTTGGGTATCACCCCAAAAAAATTAACCATAGCTACTACCTCCATTTCATATTTTTTGCAACTTTGGGTATTATTTGTGAGATATAAAATATTTCAAAGTTGCAAAAAATATAAAACGGAGGTAGAATTTAACATCAACAAAATCACTTTTTTGGTTAATTTTTTTTTTTTTTTTTGACATAATCACGTGTTGATCAATGCAATTTATATTTTATTTCACCTATTATTTGTACTTTTAACTTCTTATGGGCAACCTTTAAAACTTCATACCTTGGGGAAGCAATTTCAATCACACAATCCTCCCATTCTAAAACGAAAAATAAAATAAAATCATATTAAAAAAATATTTATACTATATATTAAAAGGCGTTCTTTGTAAAAGAACAGTGCCACATGACACTGTTCAAAGTATATATGCTATGTCACAATGTCATGTTACTATCTAAAGTATATGCGCCACGTAAACTTGCCACTTCATTTAACAAAATAATTTATGCTTTGAGCTAGATTCGAACTTGTAATTTCCAACATATAAAGGTCATACATTTACCGTCTCAATCAACTTTTATTAATATTTTAAATTTCACATAAGATTATATATTCCTTTCATATATTAAGTAAATTAGAGGTTATATAATTTATTTATTTTTCAAAAGATTAGAAACATACATACAAAAAATAAATAAATAAATAAATAAAATCGAAACAACATAAAAAACACACACTAGTTATATAAATAGTCGAACATAATTATCAAATTAAAGAAGTCCAAACTAGCAACCCGAGGCATTGTCCGGGCCACACCCTACTTATGTATTAAAATAGAAGTCTCATTCAACCATCATATATTTATCTCTTCTCTGTTAATCAACCGAAATCTGCTATCATATTTTTTATCCACTTGTTGTAATCAATCAAACTTCACTAACTTTAGTTTTCTATCCTTTAGCTAGGTAGAACTTATTAAAACTTATTATAATTGTAATTTGAATTTGATTAAACTTTTATTGAAACTTATTTTTCATAGACGGAACTTATCTAAATTTATTTTTCATGAACTGAACTTATCTAAACTTATTTTAGTTGTAATCTAAACCTTTTCTTTACTTTTTATATTCACTTTCGCCAAAATGTGTGTGAGAAAGAAAATTGTGACTTTATCCGGAGAATGAGAGGAGGTTCGACTACATGTCTACACCCCAAAACCAAGAGGCACCATATTTAATTTATAAAAATACAAAATTAAAAAGAATAAAACAATTAAAATAAGAGATTAAAAATAATACAAAGGACAAATGTATGTCTCTCGTCAATTGACTTTTATTTATTTATACTAAATTATTCTTAGGCACATACTTTGATACTCACATATATAGTCATACTCTCCCTAGCTAGTTTTTTCTCAATGTTATGGTTTGACCAATTTAATTTCCAAGATACAATTTGCTTGATTCTTTAATTGTCTATTTGTAAAAATTATAAGAAGAAAAAAAAAACAGATATTGTAAAGTACATATCGGACTATAGAGTATGAATAATCCAACAAAATATGATATAACAACATTTTTGCATTGAGAAATATTGTGAGTCGGACTCACTTTGAGATGGAGATATATAGAAGTCATTAAACATTTCATATAAAATTTTGAACATCTTAATTTTTGAAATTTATAAACTCGTATTAGTTTTTAATGTTTTATACTTCCTCCGTTTTTTTTTTATTGCATCATAGGGGTTTTGGAGGCAAAATTTGGTAGTGGGAAAAAGTAAGAGAGAGAAACGTAAAAATACAAAATTGTCCATGTAATGTAAGATAAAATAAAAAGTAATTGTGAAAAAGTAAGGGTATGTTGGGTATTTGCAGTGTGAACATAGATATTTTTTATCCTAAAAAGGAAATGATGCAATAATAAGTAAAGTTCCTAAAGTAGTAAGTGATGCGATAAAAAAAGAACGGAGGAAGTATAAGTTTTTTATAATTTCATAGAAGTATAACTTATTAGACATATCAGTTTTTAAATTTTATGTATTGGGTGGGTGGGTGAACTTATGATGAAACACGCTCACCAATACTTTATTATTCATATTTTAGTTATAAATAAACAAATTCATCAAACCTAAAGCTTTAAAAAAATTAAATATATGGAGTGTTATTTATATTGTTTAGTCCTCAGTCCCTTGTATACATGTCACAAAATCGACCCAATAAGTACTCCTAGTTTACAATAATCGCAACAATTTGACTACAACATGTGTTAATGTAACTATTACTATTTTTAAGGGTAATGTTATATATAACCTTAGAGTTATGAGTAAGCATTTAATAAATTTTCTTATTTGAAATTAATTTAAGAATGCATGACAAAATTATGCGTAAATCAGTGTAAATAATATTATTCAATTGTTTTTTTTCCATTTTTAGCTTCTTATATATAGATTTAAAGCTATGTATATCATTTTCTTATTTTTAATTATATACGAAGTATTAAATAAATATTTTTAAAATATATTTGATGAACACAAAATGCAAAGAAATAAAACACAAAGCTGAACTTGTTTCCAATTCCAATAGTAGCTTATTTATTTATTTAAAAAATAATAAAAGTGATAAGAAATAATAGTGGCCCACTAAAATGTGGAACACATTTATTACAATCTCTTACGGATTACGTAGTAAACAAAGATTGAGAGTATTCCTACACGTACATACTAAAAACATATACACTAAAAAGTTAGTTAGAGTCTCTTTGTAAATTGCACTTGTAATTTCACACCCTGTTTCCCACACTATTCCAGCAAACCAAAAAACATTTACTAGTCATTAAATATCCCACTTTCCACTAAATAAAATTGACCCTCTTCTTGGCCCCTCCAAATTTCTTTATATAAACTCCCTTATTTCCTTCATTATGCATGTAACAATATTTACACTCACTCATCCAAAATTACTCTCTCTGCCCTTTATTTTCTCTCTTTCTTTCTTTCTAAACTTAGACACACAAAAATAAAAATGGAGAAGTTAAACAAATGTGATGCAAATTATGCAGCTCTTACACCAATTACCTTCTTGCAAAGAGCTGCAACGTGTTATGCTGATCGAGCTTCGATTATCTACGGCGAAGCTCGTTTCACTTGGAGGGAGACTTATGATCGTTGTCGTCGTCTCGCCTCGTCTCTTAAGTCCCTTGGTATAACCAAGAATGATGTGGTTAGTTAGTTTCATTTTCTTTAATTTACCACTATTTTATTGATTGGTTTTACGGATATTGCATCGTGCACGTTTACTTAATTATTACTTGAGATTTTAAAGAATGTACGAGGTACCCTTATAATTTTAAAAATGCATCATGTACTAACAAAGTAACAAGCTTCATTCGCGGACGACTCATAAATTCAGGGACTTTGAGAATGACCGTTTCTCTACTGTACCAGTTGTTTTAAAATAATAACTTTATTCATCAATATTAATGATCTTAGACTTTAATGACTAACAGACATTAACAATGTTGTTAACAAGTCTCCTCATTATAATTAATTAAATCTTAAATTTATGTAAAGGTTTTTTTTTTTTTTTTTTTTTTTTTTTTTTTTTTTTTTAGGGAAAAGTTATGTTGAGGTTAATGGAAGTGGTATGAATGAATAAATCAACTGTCAGTACTCAGTAGGGTTAGTTGAGCTCAAGTCTTAAGTAATTAATAGTAGCCTCAGATATTTTTACAAATGTAAAGTGATGCGTTTTTGAAATCATGAGAATACATCGTGCATTATTTAATACCCATATATTGACGCAGATATTTTGTAACTTTTTTTTGATGTACTACTACTATAAGTGGTCCATTTCATAAATAATTTCCTATAGTCATTTGAAGGGTTATTTGATGTGCGAGTTGTAACTTTAGTACAGCTAGTTTTTAACTAGGGAAATGCATGAGCCTACAAAAAATATGGTTGTATTTATGGAGGTCTGACTATATTATAAAACTTGGTACCTATGAATGAATGAAGTGCTCCGTAATATTTTTTGTTGCTGTAAACAGATACGGCGATGACAGTGACATTGACATTATCCCTTAACCTTTAACCTACTAATAAAACTGTCTTTAATATAAAGAGGTTGAAGTAATGATATACGAAATATTTATAAATTCTTACCCAATGTAAATTATAGCAGTATTATTGATTGATTTTTTTAGTTACTCTAACTAACAACTATTTTCAATAGATGGATTAGTGATAGAACATTTCTTACGAATTGAAAGGTCGTTTAAATAAGGCGCTAATATGATGTTTGTTAACATAACAAGGCCCAAAGAAAAGTACATGCTTCAAGGCCCAGCTAATGGTGTCCTTATATATTTGTGGGTTATCTTTTCATGAAAGTGACCCCTAATTCCTCACCTCTCATTAAGATTTATGTATGATATTTATATATTTCTTCGAAAATCTTTTGTGACTAATAAATTATACCATTAGTAAAATGGACTAGTATAATTAAGATCATGGCCCAACTAATGGAGAACTTTGAAGATGTCGACTCTAATAAAAGGTGAAGGCGATAATTAAGATCTTCTTAGATTCATTTTAACAAGTCGTTGTACCTATTAATCTTGATTACTCAATCATGTAATTAATAAGCCTAACGTATAATAAATAACATCATACTCTCCTTAACTTATTTTACCAAGTTTCGGTTAGATCCTGTTTAGTTCACCTTACAAAAATAATACTGCATATTCAATACTAAAAATTTCAGTTTAATAAAAATAGTTTCAACTAAGTAAAAATAATTTTAGTAACTTATCTTGTGCATTTGTGATTCGATTTCAGGTTTCAGTGTTAGCCCCAAACATACCGGCATTATATGAGATGCACTTTGCGGTGCCAATGGCAGGAGGCGTACTAAACACCATCAATAGTATGCTTGATGCTAACACAGTCAAGAACATCCTTTCCCATTCCGAGGCAAAGATTTTGTTCGTGGACTACGAGTACATCGCCTTGGCTTGCAAGGCGATGCGCCTTCTTAAGGCTGAAGCGAAGCCATCAGCCGTCTTACCATCCGTGATTCTCATCAATGAGATAGGTTATCCTACGGGAAACAATGGTGGTGGTGTCAAGAAAGGTGAGCTTAAGTACGAGCAGCTACTAATGACTAGCAACCGCGATTTGGTGGCTGAGTCTTCCCTCCCTTTGGTTGATGTTGATAAGCCTTTGAGTTATAATCTTAAGGGTCGTTATAATGGGTTGTTGGAGTATGAACAAGTGATTGGAATGGGTGATCCTAATTTTGTTGCTGTTAAGTTGGATGATGAGTGGGATCCTATAGCTCTCAACTACACCTCTGGCACCACGTCCGAGCCTAAAGGAGTGGTGTATAGTCATCGCGGAGCCTACCTTAGCACCTTGAGCATGGTGTTGGGTTGGGAGATGGGAACGGAACCGATTTATTTGTGGTCCTTACCCATGTTTCATTGCAATGGGTGGACCTTCACTTGGGGGGTTGCGGCCCGTGGTGGGACTAATGTTTGTATTCGAAAGACAACCGCGTCTGAGATCTATCGGAGTATTGCCTTACATGGGGTTACACACATGTGTTGTGCGCCCGTTGTGTTTAATATTATTAGGGAGGCTAAGCCTGATGAGCGAGTGCAACTTAAGTCACAAGTTCAAATCCTTACAGGAGGGGCCCCACCTCCTGCAGCTTTATTGCTGGAGATGGGGCAATTAGGGTTCCATGTGGTGCATGCTTACGGGCTAACAGAGGCCACAGGGCCGGCCTTAGTTTGCGAGTGGCAAACTAAGTGGGACCCTTTACCCCAAGAGGAACAAGCGCGGCTTAAGGCACGTCAAGGGGTTAGTGTCCTTAGCATGGTAGATGTTGATGTTAAGGACATAAAAACTAAGCAAAGTGTGCCTCATAATGGTACAACTAAAGGTGAAATTGTACTGCGTGGTAGTGGCATTATGAAGGGATACTTAAAGAATGAGAAAGGAACATCCGAGGCTTTCGAGGATGGATGGTTCCATACCGGCGATGTGGGTGTCATCTATCCGGATGGGTATATTGAAATCAAAGATAGGTTGAAAGATGTGATCATATCCGGTGGGGAGAACATTAGTAGTGTGGAGGTGGAAGCGGTTATTTCCCGACTCCCAGAGGTGTTGGAGGTAGCGGTCGTGGCAATGCCTCACCCGCGATGGGGTGAAAGTCCTTGCGCGTTTGTAGTGCAAAAGGTCAAAAATGAAAAATTGAAGGAGCAAGATATATTGGCACATTGTAGGAGTAACTTACCACACTATATGCTACCTAAGAAGGTAATGTTTATGAAGGAGTTACCAAAGACGGCCACCGGTAAGCCACGAAAGGACTTATTAAGGGCTATTGCAAAGAAGACTAACGTATCAACCGTGCAAAACGAGCATCGAACAGACCAATTAGTCACTATGTCACGTTTATAGTCCTAATTTAATCAACTAAAATCTACTAGTATATATATTCTGATGTATTTGTCCTTGTGAAACTTCTATTAAAGCTCAAGTTTTGTGTTTCTTAGTCATTGGAGTGTTTTTAGAGTGCTTGATGTAATAAATGTCTCAGAGACGACCGTAATCATCCCTAACAAGATGTGTATAATACCAGTTGAAATGTTTGTTGGGTATACTAATGTGAGTTTGAGTACACCTTGATATTAAATGTAAACAAGTGGTTTATATTCAACATATCTTGATCATTTGGACATTTTATTTTCATTAATGAAAGGGAATCATCATAAAGTAAAAAGTGTTATGAACAATAATGGACCATATTTTAGTTACAATATTATAATTACTTTGACTAATAATTAATTTCTTGACTTACGCACCATACATCTTTTAATATACTACTTGTACAAGTCTATTTACTCATTAATATGGAGTAGGTGTCAAGTTAGTTACTAAATAGACAAGTATGTGACAAAGTATAGTCATAGATAATTCATTAAGTGCAAAATCAATCAATAATGACAATCAATGAGCAATTTGTTATAAAATCATCAAAAGACAAAAGTGTTGGTTACTGTTGTCAATTTAATTGATGGTTGCAATTTGCAAAGCAAGAGATTAGGGAAACGACTTTAGGTGATTGTGGATGTTTTCTTGAAAAGGGTATGATGTGGAAACATATTCAGCTTATTTTACCATCACATTAAACATACTTAAAAAGGAAAGTTTGGTATGATGTAAAGTATGTTGTTGATTTATGTGTTGATGGAGCTGCGCTAGGGAAATTCCATGACCATGAGCAGTATTGCATATTGGAGAGCATGGTGTGCTAATAGGAACGTTTTGATCATTTTGCAGGCTCTATGCTATTTTATAAAGTAGGCCCAAAAAAATTTGTGCTGAGAAAATTACTGTATTAAGGCCTTGTTCTTTTAAGCTACAATGGCCTACTCTGCTCTGCTCTTCCGCTAAAATCTGCTTTGGTTTGTTTTGCTTAGTATTACTAATTAAGAAAATTAATAATTAATAACTAATAACTAATAATTAATAATTAATAAAATTACATAATTAATAAAATGATATTGAAAAGAAAAAATAAAATATTATAATTATAGCGCTAAAAAAGAGAAAATTATTTTAATGATAATAAAAAAATACTGCAAATTTTATTAAGCTAATAAGCATAACGGTAATAAATATGTTAAGCAATTATAACTCTAATAAGTTTAATAATTAATAAACAACAACAACAACAACAAAATAAATAAAAATAAAATAAAATAAAAAAATAAATAATAATAATAATAACAATTGTTTCGAGGTTTTCTGTGTCCCTCGGGAGAGTTACAACACCAAGACTGGATTCTGAGCGCCTGTACCTGCAAAATAACGGAGACTCCGGTTGGGTGGACTTCCACCTCCGATGGTCAAGTTAGAACGTGTTCGGAAGATAAAAAGTGCGGAATGTAAAGTGGGATCAGGTTTCTCTATGGTGAGAAATGATCATCCGGCTATCATAGATAGCCTCAATATCTGAGCCTTTACGCTCTCGTAATTTGTATGGATTGAACGTCTTGAATGTGTTTCCATGGTGGAAACATCTCTCTTTTATAGGGTCTCAAAATGCGCGCCCAGTCCTAGGTTACGGAAACCTAGGACTGATTAGGCTACCTAAGAGTTTGGGCCTTTAAACCCGCCTTTCCTAGTTGGATATATGTCTGCCACGTGTTAAGCCTTTGTTGGTCCACTTAGGGCTCTCCTTAGGCTGTCATGTGGCAGGCTCTGATTGGTCCACGTGGCAGACTCTAATTGGTCCACGTGGCGGACTCTGATTGGTCTACGTGGCGGGGTAAAAATCTCCTAATCATTTGCCCCTCACAGGGGTGATGTGGCTTGCCACGTGGCGCCTGTAACATGTGTCACATGCGAATAGAAGAACGGTTTTTTACCGTTTTCTTTTTTTTTTTTTGAAACATTTTTCAAGGGTGCCCCTTGAAATTCTTACCCCCCTATATAAGGGTAATGCCCCAATCATTTTTCGCACATTCTCAAGATTTTCGGACATAGAATCTTTAACTTTTAAAAAGAACTTGTCTTTTTCTTAGAAAAGCACCTGTTGCCTGCTACCTGACCGCCTGTTTCTACATTCACCCAAGACTTTTTCCAAGCGCCTACAGTACCTTCAAACTAAAGGTAACTGCCTGCATTTCTCTCGTACTTTACTTTGTTTCTTTTTCTTTTTTAAAATGGTTTCCCAAAAACACACGGCACGGCCTAGGTTAGTGATCAACCGGTCACCGGGGACGGCTGAATCTGGAACTAGGAGTGCCGATTTCCCCTTTGCTGGACCACCCTCAGGCAGACGCTAGGTCCGACAGCTCAAACAATGAGTCCGAGCCTAGTACTTCTGGCAGATCTTCCAATGACTTTGAGGAAATGCATTCTCAGCTGGAGACAGCGAGATAGTCCCTATCTGTAGAAAAGGGCGAGGGCTGGGCTGAGCCTTCTGCTTCCCGCCGAGAGCAGTTTTCTGCTTACTGTCATCACGTTCCCGCGGGCAGGCAGAAAGCTATGGCTGACAAGGTGGGAAGTTTTTGAGCTGATCATGTCATGGGACATGACTTTATTTAGTGCGTGCTGGATGTCGAGGACACTGTAGTCTGGCCAGAAGGGTCCAGCTACGGGGACGAATGCTTTGGCTGTTATGAGGCGGCCAATAAAGTCGACCTTAGATTCCCCCTCCTTTCGACCGTGGAGAGAATTTTGGACGGATACCAGTTGGGTATCTAGCAACTGGCCCCAAACTCTTAGGTAAATATCCAGGGCTACGTTGTCGCCTGCGAAATGCAGGAGGTGGATCCAAGCTTCGAGGCGTTCGCCCATACGCATTATCTCAGCCGGACCCCTAAAGCAAGCGAGTCCGAATGGTACACTTTGTCTAGCCACAAAGGCTATATGATGACAATAGGAAAGGAGAACAAGTGTAAGGACTGGAGAAGCAAGTTCTACATTATCTCTTCTCCTAACAAAGTGAAGAACAAAAAATACAACCGATGGAACCGGAACCCTTCTCTGCTATCAGGCGGATCTGAATTGTCGCTTGTACCCAGAAAAAGCCAGGGAGGAGATCTTGGACAAGGGCCTCTTTAAAGTGGTCATCTGGCCCAATGAGGACACTGGGGCGAAAGAGGTCATTCCCAAAAGTTACCTTCCCCGATATGACAGGCTGTCTGATCGGGATTATTTGGCCGCCTGCGGTCTAAGTGTAGAGAGGCCGAGAGGTAGTCGACCGACTGTGTTTAGATTCTTAGTAAGACTTAACCGTTTTGTCCCACTTATTTAACCATTTGAATCTTCTTATGCAGACAAAGCAAATGTAGAAGCTCTCGTCCACCAAGAAACCAGCCGCCTACTACCGCTCCCTTTTGGGCAAGCGGAAGGGCGAGGAGCCGGATGCCGCGAAGGCGTCCAAGGTGAGCCATTATCTATAATTTTGGCTAAGTTTTGATTTATTTTTCCCACCTGCTTCTTACTCATTTTGGTTTATGTGTAGGGCGTTTCATCCAAACCTTCTCTATCTTCACAGCCGGACCCGAAGCTTCAAAAGCAGACAACGAGGATGTGTCGAATCCTGGAAGGCCTAGGAAACATGTGGCCCATAGGTCAGGAAGGACCCATCCTCCTAAGTCCCCAGCTGGCCTTGAGAGTAGCCGACCCCAAAAGTAGAAGGAGGCGCCCGAAGGTATTACAAGATTTAATCCTTTGTCTTACCTTTGTAGGGTCTAATTCAATCAGCAGTCAACCAGTACCTCTGAAAGCAGCCGGTCTATAGGTCGAATTTACACCAAGTATTTACAAAGTGTAAAGGGTTTCGTAGTGACCCACACTACGCGGAAAGAAACCCGCCAAGACCCGCCCCCATAATAAATGCAATTAACAAGCAAAACATAAGTTAAAGCATAAGAAAGGATAAAAGATTATACCTTTGACGCGTGCTTCGCTCAACTATGAGCTCTTACTTGAACCCCGAAAACACGAGGCCTACGGCGGGATTGTACCCTCAAACCCATCCCGAGCATCCTAAGCCTCGAAGGTTAGTCAAGGCCCGGACAAAACAAACTAGAGTTTTACGAATTTCAAGGTATGCTCAACAATGGAGTTTCCTTTACTTTTCAACTCAAGTGTATTCTTTCCCAAATACCCATGCCTTGGTATTTATAGGAAAATGAACCCTTGATTTTCATTCCCTAACCAATGTGGGAGAATGAGCAATTTTGATAATTAATTTAATTCCAAATTTAATTAATAATCAAATCAATCACAATGCAACAAGTGTCAAGGGGAGAGAGAGAGAGTTAGGTGAGGACCAAGAGAAGGTGGGGGGGACCATTGCCTTTCTCCCCAAGGCTTTGCCCAAGCCTTGGTCCCCACCCCTCACAAAACTAGAACCATGGTGCTGCTGGGCTGGTAGCCAGCTAGAAGTGCCAGCTAGCCCAGCCAGCACAAGCATGATGCGTGTGGCTATGCTGGGCAGTGCCTATACTGCTGTTGCTTGCTAGTGCTAGTGCTAGGCGCTGCTAGCGTTGGCCCTTACCTCTCTCGCCATCGCACACGCACACGCAAGGCCCCTCGCACTTCCAAGCATGCGTGCTGCTAGCGAGCCACGCATGCTGGGCATCGCCTCGCCAGCCACACGCACAAGCATGCGAAGCTTGGTGCTGTGATGCTAAGATGGCTTGCGATGGCCCTAGGCATAAGCACACGCACACGCACACACGCAAGTGCCCAGCACTGCGATGGTGATATGTTGCGTGCAGCGATGGAGCGACAGGCTTAGGAACAAGCACACACACAGGCCTAGCCATGCGATAGTGCTATGCTTATGCTGCGATGGTGCGTCAGGCTGCGATAATGCCTAGGCACCCATGCACGAATGTTGCGGTGGTGCTGTGCCATGCGAAGGCACGCACACACGCACATGGTGCTGCGATGGGTAGCCTAGTACGCCTAGGCTTGCGCCTAGCCATGCTAAGTGCATGCTAGCTCGAGTTAGCCTAGCGTTCACATGGCTAGGCCACTGTGATGCTACAGTTACGCTTGAACTTGTTGCTTGTGATTTTGCGACGCTCGGTATCGACGCCCTAGGCTCGATAACCGAAGTCTTTGTTCGTAAAACTCCGACGACTCATTAAATCCTTCGGATTAATTCGTCGTCTCGGATCGGTTTGTTCGACC